GGTTCGAGTCCAGCCCGAGCTGAGCAGCCGCTGAGCTGCCAACAGGTAGCAGGATGGCTCAGCTAAAAAAAATAAAATAAAAATAAAATAGAAATTTTTAACTATAAGCTTTCCCTTTGACAATTCTGTTCACAAAATCTCTCTATATATTAGTTTTCAGATATAATGTAATATATCCTTAGAAAAAAATCCCAGTCTTCTCCTAATCTCATAATTGGGCACCACTGGTGGTTCTCCAATGAAACCTTCCAAATCTCCTGCTGTATCACTCCTCTGTTACTCTCTCGAGTTGTTCCATTTAAAATGTGGCAGTCTTTGATAGAAATAGAAGCTTCTTAAGTATCCTTTGAGCCTTCAAAGGAAATAACTAGTGATTGACTTTGTACATATCATTTTCACCCTAAATTGCTATACTTTTCAGGAGGTGCTATACTTAAGTCACATTATCTTCTAAATTCCTCTTCTTTTCAGGCATAGAGAGATAAAACAATGTTAGCAGGACTGCTCCAGGAAACCTAAATAAGGGTTGAACCAGTTTGGAATGCTGCCTTCAAATCTGTTCTTTTGATTAGTTCACGACTCAGCACTGCCACTGGAGGGCAGGCAAAGGAAGGGAGAAGAAACGAAAGGCACATCCTATGTCAATTTCAGGTATTCATTCTCGAGTTTGCACAAATCGTTCACTCTTTCTTAATAAAATAATTGTTTATTTGGAATGGTAATAATTATAACCATAGCTACCTGTTAATAATAATTTCTAGTGAATAGTAGCTTCTTAAAATTAATTTAGAGGAGTTTATTAGTATATTCACAATGTCTTGAGCTTAGGAATTAGCAATTTCGAACTTGAAGGGACCTTCAATATTATTTAATACAACTCTCACATTTTGGGGGAGTGAAGCAAGTTGGTGCCAAGAGAGGTGAAGAGCTGTGCCTGAGATCGCCTTGAAGAGAATTCTGAATCCTGGACCAGTTTGTGGGGTTTCCATCACTATTGTTGTTATTGTTTTTTAAATTACATTTTCTTGCTGCTCCTGAGCTAGAGGCTAAATGGACATTTATATAAACAGTATATTAAAAGGTACTTATTTCATTTTGTCTAGATTAGTACTTCTGAATATTCTATGTTAAGAAATTTCCTTCTTCACCTTGAATAATTCCTATCAAAATTTCATGATGACCTAGGTCAACCAATAACAGTCCCTCATTAGTTGGTATCAGTGAGCACAAACGGAAAGGAACAATGTTTATATTACTAGTATTGAAGGAAGGGAAAGGACGTTTTCCAGCAAGGCAATTCCTGTTTTATCAGGATACTACTGGTACTAAGAGAAAAAGCAAGTTGAGATATATTTCTCATCTTCTATTCCATGACCATATATTGTTATGAATGGCCTCTTATCGATGATGCTTTGTTATGTAAGAGCACAGCCTTAAAGACTTTCCAGCTGATGGTTTTGCTCTTATTTCCCCTCACTCTGTACCTTTGCTGTCTGAGATTGGGTTTGGGGAAAGGTGATGAGCACGAAAGAGAACAGATAGCTGGCCATCCTCGGATTAGCTAACCACATAACCACACCAGGTTAGCTAATGAAGTCACTTAGGGCAGAAAGTTAGTATTTACAAGAGAAAGAGCTTGACCAGTGTCATGGAGTGTTATGATAATTCAAGGACAGATTATATTTAGATACTTGAACTATGTGAAAGAATGTTCTGATTTCAGAGCTTATTGAGTGTAGCCTATATTGATCATATACTATTTCCAGATATTAGCCAGTGTTTGAAGATTGAAGGAAAGAGTTAATATTTCAGTGAGGTGTTTTTCTTTCTTTCTTTGTTTTTTTTTTAATAAAGATTTTATTGGGGAATCGGGGGAGCGGAACAGACAAGTTGCTGTCATTTTTGTTCTTCAGTCTAGTTGTGGAGGAGGTCGCTTCACTGGCTCATGTTGGTATTATCATTGCGCTCTTCCCGGGTGAGGCAGTCGCTCGCTGGTCATTGGACGGCCGCTCACGGCCGCTCACGGCTGCTCATGAAAACTCACACCCACTGCTTGCCAGGCACACTGCAGCCTACACCGATGCCGGCAACTCACGGCAGCTCATCTCCAGGCTCATCTCCAGGTCGAGCTGTTGTTCACCATCATAGCTGTAGAGGGTGCAGTGTCACTGGCCCGCATGTGGGATCCGAACCGGGGCTCTGCTGCTCAGAGCTGGTGTCCCAAGACAGCTCTTAACCAACGCACCACTAGGCCGGCCCACTTTTTTTTTTTTTTTTGGTGCATCCATTCCATAGCACTATGATGGTATGAAAGAGTAGTATCTATTCTTTCTACTTCAGCTTCTAACACCATCTATATTCACAGTTAGGGTGAAGGAAGAGCATTTTAATTTGAGAAATATTAGTTTTAGACAGGAATGGGTTTTTAATTAATTATACCACAGATACTGGGCTAAAAGAAATGCAAGAATATTATTGACTTATTAGAATAGGTATTCACTTTTAAAGACTCTTTTGGTATTTCTCTAAAAAAGTTACCACGTAAAATCATATAATTCAAAGTCTGCTTTGAAGATACCAGGAATGTGTTATTCATTAGTTTAAAGAATGAAAACCATGCAAATGGAATTTTAACTAAATTTTAAAAAAGAAATTATATATTTATTTCTATATTCTATATTATTTATTGTAGACCATTCCATCATTCATTCAAGAAACATTTTTTTTAATCTCCTAGCATGTGTAATGCATTTTACTAGGCACTGGAATATATGCAAAGCTATGGAAGACAAAGTTTCTCACTATAGCTACCTACAGTGCAAGAAGATATAATGAAATTTGAGTTTGAAGCTGATGGAAAATTTACAAGATGTTCTAATGTACATATACGAACCAGCACATAGGCTCTCCCTTTCCCTCTAATGTCCACACAGAATATTTTATTAATGGACAAAAGGAAGAAAAGGTACTGATAGACTCCCTGAATATTTCCTAAGTCATGGTTTTATTTCTTACTTTAATAGTCACCTAGGAAATTTAGTATTGGGTAGAAGGGGACTGTTTCCTTTTAGGATAGTACAAAAAGTACTAAATGCCACCTAAGACTTGGTGGTAGTGAGTCAGGAATGGTGGATAGGCACTGTCCAGGGAAATCCCTGTACCGATAGTCTTTGGGAAGGCTGGCAGTGGCACTGCTCTGACTTGTGTTCTACTTTATGGGTTGCACGCCATCAGAACTGCTCTGCCTAACTATTTGAGATGTCAGAATAGGAGGGATGGAGAAGGAAGGCGAAAACTGGAAGAGAGCTTCATCTCTAAGCTGCAAGGGGCCAACCTGCAGACAGGATAGTTAGGGACACATTGTAGCTACTTTGATAATGGAAGACCCTGAGAGAATTGGCTTAGGGCCTGCTAGAAGAACAAAAAATAAAACAGAAGCATCTACTGGGAGTAATAAGCTTAAGTGAGATTTGAGAAATGCTTTAAAAAGTTTATTGTCATTTTTGCTTCCCAAAGGAAGCAGGCCTTCTTTATTCACTGACTCCATCATAATAGGAAGGTTTATATTAACCATTTTCAAATTCAGTAATAAAAAGTCTTTCACAAACTGTAAGCGAAGACTTTAATAGATAGATTTAAGTTTTTATATCATGTTATGGACTGAATTATTTTCCCCAGAAATTCATACATTGAAACCTTAGTCCTCAATGAGATGGTATTTGGAGAAGAAGCCTGTGGGAAGTATTTAGGTGTAGACGAGGTCATGAAGGTGAGATCAGTATCCTTATAAGAAGAAGAAGAGATACAAGATATGCTCTCTCCCTCTCCCTCCCTCCCATGTGAGGACATAGTGAGAACGCAGCCATCTACAACAGCCATCTGTCAGCACCTTCATTTTTAACTCCTCAGCCTCCAGAACTGTGAAAAAATAAGTGTCTATTGTTTAAGCCATCCAGTCTGTGGTATTTTGTTATGGCAGCCCCAGCAGATTAGTGCACATATAAAGGATATAAAAAATAATAAAGTAATCTGTTTAAAATTCTCCATGAAACTTCTGCCAAATGGTAATTGCTGATACAATGTAGGCACTTAACTGGATGTAAAATCACTTTTTAATGTTTTGCTATGTTATCTATCCCTGAGTAAGGAAAGTAAAGGTAAAAAGGGAATTAGTTGTCTTTAACTACATATCCTAACATTTATAAGCTACATATCTGTGTAGTTTACTTTTAATACCAGCAAAAGTAATAAATCATACCTGACATCCTTTTTGAAATTTCTCTGGTGTCATCCAGTCTTCAAGCATTCTCAGAATGGAAGCTCCCTATGATGGAAAAGAATGACAAATTAAACTAATAAAGGATATGTAAGGGACAAATATCACTATTGTGATTAGTATTTCATGATCATATTTGTGAGATTTCTTGAAGATGATTTTGCTAAATTACATGGTTATAGCTCTATGATTTTAGGATACAAAACCACTTGGCACATCCCCTGTATCTATGCTTCTAAAATAAAGGTAAAGATAAATTGATGAAACGGCCAGCATTTCAGCGACTTGAGGGTCAAGTAATTGTTGCACTTCACCAAATGTACCAGCAGATGGAGCTTACCTAATGAAAGAGAGGCAAGTAAAGTTTTCGAAAAATCATGCTCTTTTATGAATAAGGATGGTAATTTCAGGATAAAATTTTGGCTACTTGTTGTTATGTATATTTCAATACTTGAAAAAAATTATATTTAACAGAGAGAAGTAGATATTTGAGGAATTATCTTGTCAAATAGTTTAATATAGATGTATAATTTAGGCATAAAATCCTCTTCAAAAATGGTTTATCTCAATGTCAACTGTAATTGAAAAAAAAAATTTTTTTAAACAAAATAAAATATTTCTGTATAAACAAGTGGTTTATCTCATTGGGTTTTATTTAATCTGAAGAATCTGATCAACGCCTCTGCTCTCTATATTCTTTTCACATTATAGGATTAGTACTAAAATTTCCTATTAGTTGAATTTTAAATAAATTTTCAAGTAACTGTCCAGAAAAACATTTAAGTTAGTAATTTTTACTATAATTTATTAAATAGTATAAATTCTTTTTGTGACTAGTAGAAGGATTAGAAACATTAATGTATTTCTACCCTAATATCTTACATCCATGGAGTATCTAGGATTCAGGAAAAAAAAAACTGATTCAATAAATATAAACTCTCTGTTATGAAAATATACTCTGGATTAGAAAGTTTCATTTTAATAGATAGATTTTTAAAAAATCATTGACAATGTGAAAGAAAAATAAAAGAAAACTGGAAAAATTGCATGGGAATAATATCAGAGGAAAAGACAATAAAATATGATGCTATAAATTTCAAATATTAATATATAGAAGTCTTTTTTTCACTCAGCCAATTTTATCTAGTATTCACTTTAACAGTTATAATATCTTGTCTTATATAAAACTTTAGGTATCACGCAGAATAACAAAAGTATTAGTTTGCAGTGACTTTTGAGCAGCTTAACATAGTGGGTAAATTCTGAGAGGCTGAGGTAGAAAATGATAAAATTATGTCACATACAGGTATGAATATGTTTAGAGGAGAAGCTATAGGAGACGTAGGAGAAAATGGGTAACATAGAACTTGGGGCACTATAGATTTTCAGTAACTTTTCATAAAATTATAATGGATAAAATGCTTCATTTACATACAACATGCTAGCTAACAAAGTCATTTTAAATCTTATCTAAAAATAGATAAAAGTAATTCCTTTAAACTGAGTTGGATTCAAATACTTATTAGAAACACTAAAGGATTCTACTAGACAAGGTGTCCAAATACATATATGGCATTTCTCATTGACCACATGGACACAAAAAATCTACTGTCTTTTAAAGAAAATCAAATAAAATAATTAAAATTTGACGCTTGAAGTTTAAATGCTCAATTATCTGAATGAGAGGTGTTGTAAACAATAGTAGAAAGAGAATTTTTTAAAAATCTGATTCAAAATTCTGAGACAATGATCATCACTGGTCAGTTATACTGAAGAGTATAAGCTATTGAATATTCAGTACTCAGAACAAGTTCTACACCGTTTCTCAAAGCCCATTAGCATAGTCTAATCATCTTACCATTTTTAGGCATTTACTTTAAAAAAAATGCCACTAAACAGGAAGCTGTTCGAAACAATGCCCTATTTTCCCCACCTTGCTATAGGATATTCCATCAAAAACAGACGTTATTTCATCAGGAGTTGTCACAGTGACAACAATTGGGTGTGAAGACATCAAACTATCATCCTCTTGAACGGGAAGTACATCTTCAAGCAACATCTGGTCCCGCTGAAATGACAGAATGAACCAAAGAAATATAGCACTTCCTGTATACTGGTTCATATTTCAAAATAGCATATACATATAGTACAAATTGGGGGAAAATAAATATAAGTGACTCAAATAATTTAAAAGAAGCACTAGGTGTTAAAATTAATCATATTTTACACTAGTTGGTCTATACTGATTCTGTTCCCTTCTCCTATTTATAACTCCTTTGATTTTGCCTCTATATTACAAGCCAAGAAAACACAAGTATCTGTGACTTGTGTTTCTGCTACATTTCTGTGACTTTCAGACATATGCCAAACTTTTCAGGCCCTATTTCCATATCTGTGCAATGGAAATGATGATACCGTTTCACAGGTTTGTTCTGAAAATTAAGTGAGGAAGCATGTTGATTTGCCAAAAATTGATGTTCAGGGTTTTGTTTTGTTTTTTATAATTTTTTTTGTCAACTAACCATTGGAATTTGGATGATTCATAATTAATTGAAGAAAACATTAACTTTTGCTCTAGTTCTAATTAATAATTATCTTCTTATTCCAGCCCTAGGTTTTCTCAGCAAAATAGAGTGGTTGAGTGGTCTAGCCCTATAGTAAGATTTCCTTGGTTCAAAGCTCAGTTTTTCCGTTTTCTGGACATGTAAGTTTAAACAAATCCCCTCACCTGTTAAACAGGGGTAATGATGGCATCTACTTTTTAGAATTGTGCAGACAATTCAATGAGCGAATGCTTGGTAAGCAGTAAGCATGGTAAGCAGTAGCCTAGAGTGAAAACTAGCACAGCTGCTATTCTTTTGATTCTTAATCAATTAGATCCTGAAATCTAACTCTGTTGAATCTCTACTAATAAAAAGGTCTTTGTTGGTCTTAATTAAAATATTATTGGGTTGTTGGAAAAGTCATGACACATTTTTGCAACGAAAAACATAGAAAAAATATGTCATGACTTTTCTGACAACCCAGTAGTTTACGTTTTCCAATTTTGTGATTTCCTTTTATAATAAGCAAGGTACTATTGTCAGGTGATGATTGCCAATTAAGGTAATTTTGACTTGGACTTTCATTTCTGTCTCTCTAAAACGTTTAGGTAAGTAGATAAGATCCTGTTCTCAGTGTCGGGAAATTTGACTCTAGTCTTAGTTGTGCTACCAATTGTCTGTGTGACAATGAAAATTTATATTACCTCCCTGAGCATCAGATTTTCACCTGAGAAATGACGCTCCACTATTGTGATACTTACCAAGCTCATTTAAAATGCATCTTTATTTATCTGTCCCCTCTACCCACAAGACCCTAAATTGGGAACTCCCCAATTTAGGAAAAATTGTCATTCAGTTTTGGATTCTTTATAGTGTTCACTGAGTGAAGCATGAATGAATGAATGAAGAATAAATGAATTAGGGGCCGGCCGAGTGGCGCGATGGTTAAGAACTGGCCTGGGACACCAGAGGGCCCCGGTTCGGATCCCACATATGAGGGCCAGTGACACTGCCCTCTACAGCTAAGATGCTAAACAACAGCTCAACCTGGAGCTGGGCTGCCATGAGTTGCCTGCGACGGCGTAGGCTGCAGCCCCTGTGGCAGTGGGTTGCCATGGGCTGCTGTGTGTGGCCAGCAGCCAGCGTGAGCGGCCAGCAGCCGCAGTGAGCGGCCGTCGAGAAGCCGGCGACTGATCTGCCTCACCCCGGAAGAGCGCAATGATGGTGCCAACATGGGCCAGTGAAGTGACGTCCTCCACAACTAGACTGAAGAACAAAACAACAGCTACTTGTCTGTTCCCCTTCCCCCAATTCCCCAGCACTGTTCCCATCTCCCCAATTCCCCAATAAAAATCTTAAAAAAAAAAAAAGAATAAATGAATTAAATCGTGATTAAATTTCATCTAAGAACTGCATACTGAATTCTTCTGGAATTTAATTGGTGTTTTTGAAACACTGAAATTGTAATGTTAAAATATTATATATTATAATATATAATATCGCAATAGTAAAATATTATAATTTCTTATATCTTGATATAAGAAGGGCAAAAGGTTACTTTATAGAAAATAAAGGGCAAAAATTTTTTCATTCATAGAGATTAATTTCAACAAATTGTGAAATCAGCAGTTACAGATCAGTAGTTCTCAACTAGGGGAAATTTTGTCCCACAGAGGATATCTGGAAATACAGGGAGACATATCTGACTTCACAACTGTAATGGGAGAGTTACTGCCATCTAGTAGATATAGGCCCAGGATGCTGCTAAATATTCTACAGTAGACAGCACAACAGCCCACAACAAGGAATTATCTGGCCCAAAATGTCAATAGTTCCATGGTTAAAAACCCTGATGTAGATTAAATTTGTAAAGAAAAATTGTTTCAAATTAACTTTTTCGTTTTTTAAAGTATGTTGTAGAAACTGCAAGGGTTTCCAGCATTTAACATTGTCTTTTTATTCTGTCCAGTAGAGGGCAGCAGTCTATACAGTACACAGTCTTCTGTTAATTCTCTATTTTCACAAATCTACACACTTATATATTTTCATGTTTAGAACCAGATAAGAATACCGACAGTATATAAATATAAATAAAAGCAGATCTAGCTTTTTGGAAAAAAATATCTGTGGAGTTCATAGAAGCTCCTGTTCCAGGCTCCTCGGGGACACGTGGTATAATATAATTACATGTACATTCGGGAGATTTTAAGTTTACAAGATATAGAACAATGTTCTTCTTTCATAGAAGAGAGAAGTGACTCAGAGAAATGTACTGCTCCAGGCCACATTCCCTGAATAGCATCTCAGAAATGATTTGTCCAGAAATTGAACTTGAGTCTAACTAAGTTTATGCTTTTACCTCTTTTACCACGCTATTTCAGCAACCTGTAAACTAAGTCATTTACAAAATTAGGCTTAGGCATTTTTCAAAGGATTAGTGCTACAGATGCTTTCTTGAACACAGAGTTGGTATTATCTAAGCTATGTTTTTCCCCTTCCTTGACAGATGTCCTTGAATGATTCTATCCAGGATATATCCTCAGAGCCTGGTGGCTAGTTATCCTCTAGGGCCTGGGCATAAGCTCCAAGCAAGGTATAGTTCAGTGGAGCCAGCTAGAGCCCCCTCATTCTCCCATTCCCAGTTCACCACTTTACTTGGCCTCAAATTCAAGGTCATAGTCCAAAAGCTTTAATTTGCTTTGCATAAGGTTTGGAGCTTATGCATCTAACACTCACCATTTGCCATTCTTTTTCTGCATGGTTTACTCCCAGGAACTCAAAGAAGGAAGCAAATCCTTCATTTAGCCACAAGTCTTCCCACCATTCCATGGTCACAGTATTTCCAAACCACTGAAATTATAAGCAATAAAATGATAGTTAAATTCTTATGCCTTTGTTAGAGAGGCCTAGAAAATTTCAGTACATTCATTTGTTCATGCAAATTTTGTCACTTGACATAGAAGTGGCAGGCATTCTACTTTTGCATTTATTTCCTGTTTTATTTTCCTGGTTTTCAAATGATCTTAAATTCTCCTTAGTTTCTTGCCTTTATTTAGGTGTTACTTGGAATATTTGAAGGTATAGGAAGATCTCCTGTGTGTTTAGTAAAGGCAAAAACAATGTACCTTAAACGTTTCTTCGTGGCAAAAATATTTATCAGCACGAAGAAAGACTTTCAAGCAGGATTTTCTGAGTTGGTTATTTTTTATTTGCTAAATTATCATTTATTTCAGTTATTGTTGTGGCCTAAACCACTTTTTAAAATGCACTAATCTGATGCTAAAATTCTATACCTGATGCACAAGTTCATGGGCAACCACACTGGCCACCCTCTGCTTGTTTGATGAGGCTGATTCCTGGGGGTCATATAGCAGGTTCGCTTCTCTGTATGTGATGAGTCCCCAGTTCTCCATAGCTCCAGTGCCAAAGTCTGGAATAGCGATTTTATCTATGGAAAAAAAAAAGAGTCCAGTGAGAAATACATTCTTTCCATTTGTTCATAACATTTCTTACTAAATTAAGTTCTTTGGATGAATGTTTTTTAAAAAGTCTAAAAATAATTCTTAGAGGGAAAAACAATAATCTATTTGTGCAAACTTTTTAGTCTTACTGCGCTCAAAATTTCCATGGAACTTTTCCTGTTAACTCCAGATATCAATGCGTCTTTTATTTTTTAATGACAATTTTACTAATAACACATTTTTACTAATGGCAATGTTCTTTTCGAGTCCTCTATAAGTTTATGTCATTTGTTCCTCTCTGTACTTCATGTTTTAAAGATTTAAAAAAAAAATTTCACTTAGGTAACACAGAACATCTGTTTTGGGGATAAGCTATGAGGAATTAAGAGAATGAAGTTTTCAAATGACCACTTAGAAGCACAAAACTTCCAAGAGCACAGAAATATATTTCTATCCAATGTTACAGAATATTGGAGAGTATAAATTCTACTTTTTCTCTAATTCTATACAATTTGAAGTCAACCTGATTCCCTGCTAATTGAGTAGCTTACCACCCACTTATATGTATTAAATTAGTTGGATCAACATGGAATTGGTTGTATTTTCTCTAAATTTCCTTTCAGGTCTAAAATGTTGGATTCTATCATGGCTTTCTATTCCTTATTTTTGCTGGGGCCTATAATCTTAGACATACTATCTGACAGGATGAGGCAGTGCTGCTCAGTTCTATGTTAAATTTCAAAACAGAAAATAGTCAGCTTGACTATTGGACAGAATACAGCTTCTCCAGTTAATGAACAATAATAAGAATATAATTTCTTTATTATTACATAGAATTTAAATGAGGCACGTAAATAAAAATAAAGTAAATTTTCATCTAACACACAAGAAAAGGTCCTTTCTTCCTGGTTAAAATGAAGATTCTTAAAGCTTCTTTATAAAATAATGAAAATGAATATATCTTAAATTGAGGTCAAGGTTATAACAGTAGTTTCCTTTTTGTGTTATCTTCATTCATAGGTTTGATTATTTGTCACAAGAATACCACTTAAATGGTGGAGAAGTATTTCCCACAAGGGCCAACATTTTCTGTAATGTTATAGAGCAGCGGTTCTCAACCTTCCTAATGCCGCGACCCCTTAATACAGTTCCTCATGTTGTGGGGACCCCCAACCATAAAATTATTTTCGTTGCTACTCTATAACTGTAATTTTGCTACTGTTATGAATCGTAATGTAAATATCTCTTTGTTTTCCGATGGTCTTAGGCGACCCCTGTGAAAGGGTCGTTCGACCCCCAAAGGGGTCGCGACCCACAGGTTGAGAACCGCTGTTATAGAGGATAATTTGCATCTACTCTTTGAAAAATAAAAGAATTTTTTGTAACCTAGTTTCTCTGCTGAGTACTGACATGATTAATTCCAGTGCACTTAATTTTGGGGGGTATAATAAATGCAGAAGTCATTTCTAAGGAAAGCTTAAGATAGAGTCAATTCTCAAAGGCTTGAAATGCATATAGAAATATGAAGAAGAAGAAGGAGAAGGAGAAGGACAAAGAGGAAGAAAAGTAGTTGTAGTAGTAGAAGTAGTAGCTGTAGTAGTAGCAGCAGCAGCAGCAGTAGTTATAGCAGTCGTCCTTGTAGTAGTAGTTGTAGTAGTTTTAGCAGCAGTAGTAGTTGTAGTAGTAGTGGCAGTGGTGGTAGTACTAGTGGTACTACTACTACTACTAGTAGTGGTGGTGGTAATAATGGTGCTGGTAGTAGTAGTAGTAATAGCAGTAGTAGTAGGGGGGAGGGAGGAAGAAAGCGAGGAGAATAGAGAAATCAATTTGTGAGATTTCCACTTCCCAGGTATAATGGGTGGTAAAAGTAAGATAAAGAGGAAAAAGACCTTTTAATTTGATGTGCTTAACATTTTATTAAACATTATTCTGATTTTGATGAAAAGTAGTTTCTCTTCCTGTCTCCTTCTCTAATAGTTGTTAAGAAAAACAAATAAACAAAACAGAGTCGCTGCCACTGAAGAGAAAATGGGGCATGTACAAACTTGCTCAGTTCCCATGTAGAGAATTTGGCATTCCAGTTGCTTTGCATTTGGAATTTATCAAAATAAGGGCAGAAATAGAAATAGAGAAGTCAATTGTTGGTTGGTTGGTTTTCTGTTGCCTTCATTTCATCCCTACAGTTATCTATGTGGATATTCCATTTAAAGTCTTTGTTGATACCGCTCAAGCATACTAATAAAGCATTTCTATTCTTGATAGAAGTGTCATATCCATACCATTTTTATTATAGCCCTATTTTTTATTTTAAAAATAAAACTGCCCCCCGCCCCCATATAAGGGAAAAAAAATATGGACGGAGCACCAGTGTTTCATTTTAACTGCTGGAGAATCTGGAATTAGTCTGGTACAACAATGGAAAGACTGGGGGCACATGGGAGTGATAGCATCATTTATTCATATTATATCCCAACTCGCTGATGGTAAGGAGGCAAGTAAGCTATTGGGATAGGTACTGACTTTGAAATCAACTAATCTAGGTTTCTATTTCTGTTCCATCATTATCAACATCTGCAATTTTGTACACATATAGTACTTCAATCTTTATTTGGAAATAAAAGACTACATAGTCATCAAATTAGAACAGAGTATAGGCGTTATTCTCGGAGGAGTCCAGAATGGACCTTTCCACATCTAGTGAGTATTAGATACATATTGTAGGCATACAATAAAAAGACTTAGGGACGAGTATTAATTAAGGATGCTAAAGCTGGAGATAGTGAGTTAACTTAGGTGCAAACAAAGGCGATATTTAAAATAAGAAAATAAAAAATGATTCTCACCTAATTTAGGAAGAGCATACTCCATACCAAAGTATACTTCAAAATAATCAAACACACTTTTAGTTATGTCCGCAGCATATTCAGCTGTGTGCTTTTGTTCTGGCTGGACATATATAGTGAGCTATTAAACAAAAACAAAAATTCAGTGAAAATCATTCTTGATTTGATAAAACACAGAAAGTATGATACATGAAGTAATGGAAAGAATGTGGTCTTCAACAAATCACTTTACATCTCTGAGCCTTAGGTGTAAAGGAAAATAATGCTTCATAACTCACTGAGTGATTTCAATAGCCAATGTAACCAATGTAAGATACAATGGTTGGCATACTGTTCAATATATTTTTCAAATGTTATTACTTTTTTCTATTTAGAATACATATTGTCTTTTTAATATCTATCCATCACCTATAATTCTATCTATCATCTATCTAGCTATCATATCTGTGTAATTTGTCTCTAAGGAAATCAATCATGTGATTTTTCTCATCTAAAGAGACCTTGGATACAGTTTCCATTTGTGCTATCCATTGTGACCCAAAGTATCCTTTTGATATTTTAACTTTTTTATTCCCAGAGTCTAAAATACAATAATTCAAAATTTTCCTGGGGTGGGGGGGGAACATCTTGATAAGCTACATACATTCTATAAATCTCTAAAATATTATTTTGTGCCCTATGACACTAGTTATAAATCAAACCAAGTATAGATTTTCCCCCACCAATTCTAAACATGTATGACCCTAAATAGCCAACACAATATTAAAAGAGGAAAAATAAAGTTGGAGGACTGATACTACCTGGAGGAAATACTACCTGATTTCAAGACTTACTATAAAGCTCCAGTAATAAAGGTAGTGAGGTATAATATTAGCAAAAGAATACATACAAGATCTGACAATTAAGTTTGCAAACTCATACTAGAAAAAGTGCTACATACCTCATTACTAAATATCATTATGGTCACCTTCGAAGTACTCCCCCTGGGAAGCTAAGCACCAATGCCAGTACCTAGTCTACCCTTTAAAGCAATTTTGGAATTCTTTTTCTGGAATGGCCATCAGAGCTGTCATTGTATTACCCTTGATGTCATGAACATCATCAAAATGTCTTCCTTTCGGGGCCAGCTGAGTGGCGCATTGATTAAGAGATGGCTTGGGATGCCAGCTCTGAGCAGCAGGGCCCCAGTCCAGATCCCACATGGGGGCCAGTGACACTGCCCTCTACAGCTCGACCTGGAGCTGGGCTGCTGTGAGTTGCTGTTGACAGGGTAGGCTGCAGCCCCTGCTGCAGTGGGCTGCCATAAGCTATCGTGTGTGGCTGGCAGCCAGCGTGAGCTGCTGTGAGCTGCTGTGAGTTGCGTGAGCAGCCGACCAATGACCAGAGACCAGTTGCCTCACCCGGCAAAAGCGCAAGGATAATACCAACATGGGTCAGTGAAGCGACATCCTCCACAACTAGACTGAAGAACAAAACAGCAATTTGTCTACCTGTCTGTTCCCCTTCCCCGATTCCCAAACGCTATGCCCCTCCCTCAACTCCCCAATAAAACTCTAAAAAATAAATAAATAAATAAATAAATAAATAAATAAATAAATAAAGCAGGATCCATGAAAGAAATAATTGATAATCTGGACTTCATTAAAAATGTCTGCTCTGTGAAAGACAATGTCAGGAGAGTGAGAAAAGAAAATATTTTCAAAAGACACATCTGATAAAGGTATGTTATCCAAAATATACAAAGAACTTTTAAAATTCAACAAGCAGAAAACAACCAACCTGATTAAAAAATGAACCAAAGACTTTAACAGATACCTCACCAAAGAAGATATACAGATGATAATAAGTATATGAAAAGATGCGTTTTCCTGCCTAACTGATCAGCATGTAATGCGGCCGAACCAAGTGATCGGGTCAGAAACCTTGGGGCAAAGACCGAATACAGAACTGTGACACCTGTGGTCTAGCAGCTCTCACTGCCAAGCAGAAAACAAAGTCACAGAGCCTGCTTGCCATCTCCCACCTTCCTAGAAATCGCCTCTTTGCACCCTCCCAGGGCTAGCAATGGCCCCAAAAGAAAGTGTAACAGTGAATGGGTTAAAGAGCAGAACTGGAGAGACAATCTCTGAGTGGCTGACACACACTGCATTTAATCCCAGTAACAAGTGTGGAGATAGCTCTGGTCTGGCATTTACCAGTAGTCAGAAGAGAACAAAGACACAAACACACCAGCAGCTTCTCCCAGCTCACCCCACCCCCAACTTTTGGGGCTGATCCCATTGCAGGCACTCAGGGCTGCTGAGGCACACAGCTCTGCTGGCTGCAGGAAGGGCACTGGTATTTCAGAAGCTCAGAACCCCATCCCCACCACATTCTCCCATAGGGGTGGTACCCTGAGACCAAGGCAATTTAGTCACAGAGGAGATGCCCATCTTCCCAGGAACTGGAACAGAGCAAGAAAAATTAAAAAGCTCCAGCACTAACTACTGGAAAACACAAGAAAGACTTCTTCATATCAGCCTGCTGCAGAATTCATTTTTGCAGCTGCCTAGGAAGAGAAATAATCCATCAATTATCATGAACAACCAAGGTAACAAAGCAGCTCAGAAAGAAAATAAAAAATCGCCAGGAAATAAACTTAAAGACATGGAAATATGTAACTTAAATGACAGAAAATTCAAGATTGCAGTTGTGAAAAAACCAGTTGCAAAAAAACTCGACAGAGAGTTCAATGAATTCAGAAATAAAATCAATGAACAAAATAAATACTTTGCCAAAGAGACTGAAAATTTTAAAAAGAACCAAATAGACATTCTGGAGCTGAAGAACTCAATAAAAGAAATGAAAAATGAAATAGCGCACTTAGGAAATAGAGCTGACCAGATGCAGGAAAGAAGTAGTGATATCAAAGATAGAAATATGGAAATGATGCTGATGAAAGAAGAAAGAGACTTGAGAGTTAAAAAAAATGAGAGGACTCTACAAGAACTATCTGACTCCATTAGAAAGAGCAATATAAGAATAATGGTTTTACCAGAAGGAGAAGAAAGGGAAAAGGACATAGAAAGCCTATTCAAAGAAATAGTCAACAAGAACTTCCCTAAACTATGGAAAGAACTGGGTACTCAAATCCAAGAAGCAAACAGAACACCTAATTATCTCAATCCTAAAAGGCCTTCTCTAAAGCACATTATATTGAAGCTGTCAAAAATTAATGACAAAGAAAGAACTCTCAAGGCAGCCAGGGAAAAGAAGAGAGTAACCTACAAAGGACCACCCATTAGATTGTCATCAGATTTTTCAGCAGAAACTCTACAAGCTGGAAGAGAGTAGAATCAAATATTAAAACTATTGAAAGAGAAATTATCAGCCCAAAATAGTATATCCAGAAAGTTATACTTAGGATATGAAGGAGTAATAAAGACCTTTCCAGATATACAGAAGCTGAGGTAATTTCCTACCACAAGACCTGCATTACAGGAAATACTGAAGGGGGTTATTCTACCTGAAACAAAAAGACAAAAGGAGGGCCAGCCGAGTGGCGCGATGGTTGGGAACTGGCTTGGGACACCAGAGGGCCCCGGTTTGGATCCCACATATGAGGGCCAGTGACATTGCCGTCTACAGCTAAGATGCTGAACAACAGCTCAACCTAGAGCTGGGCTGCCATGAGTCCCCTGCGAGGGCGAAGGCTGCAGCCCCTGCTGTAGCAGGTTGCCATGGGCTGCCGTGTGTAGCCAGCAGCCAGCGTGAGTGCCAGCAACCAGCATGAGTGGTTGTCCAGAAGCCAGTGACTGATCTGCCTCGCCCGGGAATAGCTGCAATGATGGTGCCAACTTGTGCCAGTGAAGCAACGTCCTCCACAACTAGACTGAAGAACAAAAGGATAGCAACTTGTCTGTTCCCCTTCACCCAATTCCCCAATAAGAATCTTAAAAAAAAAAAAAAAGACAAAAGCATATAAAACTATGAGTAAGATGACTAACAGACAGTCAGAAGCAGGAAATAGCAATCCATACTCAGAATAGGGCACTATACACTTAAACATAACATAAAGGATAAAGGAGATAAAAACACAAAAAGGAAAGAAGACAATTTGCCACTGCAATTCAGAAATGAACTTACAGCATAAACAGGGATAATTTATAACAACAAAAACATAAAAGAAGAGAGAGTAAAGGTTTGACTATGCAAAGGGGAATGACGATAAGATAAGATGCATGCTGAAGAAAAAGGACTACTGTATATATGAAACTTTCTTTTACATAAAGTTAATGATAACCACTCAAAAAAATCCAGAACTGAGACACATGACATAAAAAAGAGGAGACAGAGGGAAAAAAATCATAGAATACCACCTAACTAAAATAACAGACAGAAACACAAGGGCAAAGTAAAAATGGAGACACTGACCTACCAGAAAACAAAAGATAAAATAGCTATAGGAAATCCTCATATATCAATAATCATCCAAAATGTTAATGGACTGAACTCACCAATAAAAAGGCAAGAGTGGATCAAAAAACAAAACCCAAACATATGCTATCTTCAAGAGACACATCTCAGCTGCAAGGACAAATATTGACTCAAAGTGAAAGGGTGGAAAATGAAAATCCAAGCAAATGGCATCCAGAGGAAAGTGGGTGTAGCCATGCTTATCTCCAACAAAATACACTTCAAGATAAACTAGGTAACATTTCATAGGACTTTCATAATGATAAAGGGGATAATAAAACAAGAAGACATACTACTTTTCAATATATATGTGTTTAATCAGGGAGCACCAAAATATACAAAGCGACTACCAACAGAATTAAAGGGAGAAACTGACAAAAACAACTATAGTAGGGGACCTACATACCCCCATTGGCAGCTATAGATAGATCATCCAAACAGAAAATCAATAAAGAAATGTCAGCGTTAAATGACACATTAGACCAAATAAACATAATTGACATTTACTGAGCCTTTCATCCCAGAATACCAGATTGTACGTTCTTTTGTCGTGACATGGAACATTCTGAAGGATAGATCATATGTTGGGACACAAAACCAGCCTCAGCAAATTGAAGAAGATTGAAATCATACCAAGCATATTCTCTGAGTACAATTGGAGATCAA